CAAGTCATACAGATTTAGCGATTCTGCAGATTAGCATGGCAAAATCACACCATATACACCGGCAACCACCCTCCAGCACCATGGCTTTCACAACGGCCATGGAATGGTCTAGAAAACAAACTGTTGACTTGCAATAATACCATCAAACATACCTCAACTAATAACCTGTTAAGACCAGATGAAGAGCACAAGGACAGCTAGCATATTAGCATTAGACAAAAAGCAGCATAGTAAAGCGTGGTCTCAGATAGAGCTTTCATATGGCCCAGAGCCCAAGGGATGTGGGTTCGAGTCGCGCTGGATCGTGCCATAGTACCCCTAGCAGGGAACTTAATCTGAGCTTAAAACTTCATGCAGAAATGAACAAACACTGTAATATCTATAGAACTAATGAGGTACTAACCACTTGCAGGTTATAAGTACAAAGAAAATTTTGTTTCTGTATTAATAAGTTTATGTATTGTTATTATGTATTAAATACTCATTTAAGGTGAGCATTTAATTTTTATCTCTAAACTGTAGGATAACATGCAAATTCTGTGTGTTGCATTTTAATGATGGATACTTTAAGTGATTTATGTTCAAATAAGCTGTGTAACGTAATGTATAATTTTCAGATTCAGCACCTCTGTAACCATTTTAAATGAAACACCTCCAGTGACTGTATGAATGATGCCTAATTAGTGCGATGTCTTTACGGCACTTAAGAGGCGCACGTTCTCTCTCGGGAAGTAACTATATAACAGAATTCATTTAGCTGTGATAAGGGCCCGAAAAGCTTGAGAGCTGATGTCTGAGTAACCAAGGGTTTGTTAGCTATAGAGACGGAAGGTCATTTAGTGGCTTCGGATATGATCAGTTACAGAGAGGCGAACTCTCAGCCCTGATTGGTCACTTGTTCTGTCAATTATACCCATGAAATGTTTAATATAAATATACTAATATATGGCACTACAGAGATTACACAAGCCTTGTAGCAAAGGGCCTACAGGCATTGTTTTGGGCACCCCTCAGGGTCATATTTCAAATGAATCTCACTTGTGCAAGAACATATCATGTAATTCAGTGATCAGGAGAGTGTGTTGGGAGCAGAGCGGGCAGGTGGACAAAACAGGGGTGTTTGGTGTAGTGGGGATAGAGGAGGATGGACTGTGAAGATTAAAATGATAGAGATGGAGCGCAGAGAGTAGAGTAGAGGTTGTGTGTTTAGGTCAAAGACTCACCGGATACATCAGCAACCACTGTCGCACGTAACCCACACACACTGGGCCTCTTGTGCATAATCCGTGAAAGAGATTGGAATAAATATGTGAGGCAATCTTTCGGAGTGCAGTGAACGCGGGATCATATGTCATTCATCAAGGACGGATTGCTTTACCGCTCCCAAAAAAAATCACCAACGCACCACGATAATGCTTCATATTCTCCGGCCGCCATTTATCGATTTTATAAATAAACAGCGAGAGAATCATTGATGAAAGGCAAATAATTTCAGCAGCACCACTGGACTGGTTACAAGAAGCATAAGAGTTCTCCAAATACTAGATCCAATATAAAGTCCATAAAAATTTGCTTTGTAGACATACACAGTGTCACGATCCGCTCCGAACGATCCTCATGTGTGCCACGCCCCCTCATTACCTCATGTTACTTCCTGATTGTTCCCACCTATGTCTAGTTAATTCCAACCTGTCCTGTGTATTTAGTCCGAGTCTCAGTCAGTCTTCCCCAGATCAGTCATTGTACAGTAGTGTTACTATGTTTGTGGATGTTCCCTGCCTATTAAATCCCTGTTTACCCGTCTGACCGGCTCATATAGCCTGCTTGCTTGTTCGTCTGATCCCGGAACGTGACACACAGTCACATCTGATTAGTGTTTTTAAAGTCACGCTGCCCAAACATTTTCTACAGTATACAGTTGGCTAAGGCCAATGCGCCCTGCACCTTTAAATGTATGCCAACTCTGATGCAGCTGTTTTGTCATCAGACTGGCGGAGCCATCAATGATTTAGATCATTCCCCCTGTCAAACTTCAGCTGTGTCAGCTCTCTGCAGCACCATTCAACTGCTTACACCCCCCTGCCCCCACACCAACACCTTTACTGGCGTTAACAAGCACGTGAGGTCACATGACATGAACTCAGCTCGTCACAAAAGCTGAATGACATGTCCAAAGATCACACCTAAAAAGGAATGTGAGATTTCTTCATCTCAGACTCCAATCCAAGAATAGCTGGACACTCAGATTAAATGAGAAAGCTCCAGGATGTTTACTACGGTGTACGGTCTCACCTCAAGCTCTTTAAAACTCAATCTTGGGTTTACACAAACTGCAAGGTTTCTCTAGAGATGCCAAGACCTCCCTCACCTGGAATCACAAGCATCTTTCCCGCACCTGATCTCTGAAGTAACGGAAGTACTCTTCCCGCTCTCAGTCACGTGTGTTTTTCTGCCACTTCCTTGTCTCCAAGGCCTCGGAGTCTTGTGGGCACCGTGGCATCAGGGCCACCGAACCCTGTATCCCACCAGGTACGGGGATTTACGGCTTACCTGCCAGTGCCGCCCGAGATGTGCCGGGCTGGTGCGCAGAGTCGGGGGAAACTCAATTAAGCGAGACACGGCACGCGGTGGGGGAGGCGCTCGGCGGAGCGCTAAGTCAGGCCAACGTGACATCAAATTCTCTATTTCCAAATGGATATGATTACGGCACTGGAACGGCACTTAAAGCAAGAGGAAAGGGGGCAGCCCGGGGTGCGGAGCAGGGTTTCGTCATTGCTGTTATTAACACCGGACAAACTCCGGTGTAATACCGTTTATCAGCTGAAATGAAATTCCCGGGCTAAGCTGTGGAAACATACCGGCATTCCACCGCACGCACAAACACACGGGGGATACTATTTATTAGACCCTTGTGTGAGTTTTCGCACATTGTGGAGGACACTACACAGGAAAAACCACAGTGAATCTGCATTAGCAAGGCTAACCAAGATCTGGGACGCCGCTACGGGGGGGGGGGCTGCCCAAGGCAGCACAGGGACACCTCACTCGAATAAGCTAGCGGCAGCCTAGAGACCCCAGCTGGCCTAAGCGGGGGTGAGTTTAATGTTTACTTCACTCAAAAAGTCACTTCAGGTGACTTCATTGTTCGTGGTGAAGAACAGGGTTCACTTTGGCACACTTTCTGTCAGAGATTTATCTTTGATGCTCTTTCTCTGATAGCCACCGGGATACGGTCGCCTCATTCGCCTATAACGTTAACGTTAGCTAGCGTTGGAAGACGGTTGCTAGCTAGCCGGATACCGGAAGATGCTGCTTCAGCATCTCCTAAATAAGGAAGGTTTTTATTTAATGGTATAGTGACGGTTTGTCGCCAACAGGGGGTGCCCTCAGACCTCAGGGGCCCCCAGGGGCCCCCAGGTATGGCAGCGGTAAGACCACCGCTGGGCCTAAGTGCTGGTTTTTGGACTGCAAGAGGCACTGCACTGCACCACAGCCCACTTGATTTCACGGGGCCCAGCCTACGGGGCCCGGCCTACGGGGCCCGGCCTACGGGGCCGCAACTCTGACTCTGTCAAGCAAGTCCACTTATTTTCTGCAGGACCTTTTTGTTTTGTCGACTTCTCTTCGATTTGTACAAGCGAGTGATACAAGATTTTATCAGGCCATGTGCTGTGGGGCTCCATTTGACTCTGCCAGCGAGCACAACCCCCCCCCCCTCCCCCCAATATCCTGAAAATAAGTGCTATCTACACAGCGGGGTGACTAAGACAGTGCCTGTAAAAGTGACATGATTCATGGTCTTTAAAAACATATATCTGCAGGAACGGTATCAGAGTTATCAAGCTATCTAGTTGGCGCAGATAATGGAACAGAAAATAAACCACAGAGTTTGGCTTTCCTCAGAAGTCCCAGCAGTAACTGTTACCACTTGTTTAACAGATTAAACTAAATTCAAAACAACAAGGAACATAAACAATACACAGGATAAAATACCAGCTATTAGAGGTAATACCTCTCGTCTTCAGGTGACCTTTTCTGACTGCCAGACTGTCATTCGAAAAACATTTTTTAGTCTAAAAAGTATAGGTACACGCAATGGTAGAGACACAGATTGTGTCCACAGCCTGCAGTACAAACACAGACCATGTGTAATTAAAATACCAGGAAGTACCCAACTGGCAGACTGTCCTTGGCGCATCCGATTGCACGTCGTGGCCCAAAGTCTCCATGACCACCGTATTGCGAAGAGCCGAAGGGTAACTTTTAGCCTCTTAGCTAAGGCTTTCACCCGAAGCGAGTCTCCGTGTACAGATAGCTCTTTCACAGCAGCAGATTGTTTCAAGCACCATGATACGGGGCACCAGATCAGAGTCCCTTCCAGTAGGACTGGACAGGAATTAAAATTCGATCACCCACGATAAATTTTGCCTGCCCAGAAACCCATCAGACCACCGGGAAAATGGTTGGTATGCCAGGTGGCCTGTCCAGGCCTGTGTTCTCGAACAGGAACTCCTTAGGTTATGAGCATGAATCCTCAGTCGGCCTAGATTTGGGTGTGGATTATCAGAACGTGTCCCTGCCAATATTGTGGGAGTGCTGTGTGTGTGTCAGCGGGTGGGGGGTTTGGGGCTGATTTGGACCATATCAATATTAAAACCAAACCAAACCTTTTGCCTCTATCCTATCGGTGATCCTACTTGTAATACAGCCACTACCAGAACTGGAGCTTGGCAAGAATAATCTTTACGGACAGCAATAGAAATAGAACCCACACAAAGAGGTCACACAGCCTTTGAAGTACTTCTAGATGATCGCAGTTGATTCTAATTTCCTGGTGCGTTTTATTAGAAGTGTCAGAGGCGCGTGTGTTTGTATCGCAGTAGGCGTGTAAAACGCAGTGTCGGTATGGAAACAGGACGGGAGCCCGAGGGTAGCCCTCTGGTCTCTCGGTGACGCAGCACTGTAGGTCGGACGTGTGGTCGGAGCCTGCGAGGACCTACCGTATGGTGTTATCCATCCGGGACACGGTGAGGTAGGCCGCCAGGTTGGCCGTGTAGGAGGAGCAGACGACAAGGGTGAAGAGCCACCAGCTGCCCATGACGATGCGCAGTGCCATGGAGCCTGTCGCCGAGTCGCCCCCTGGAGGGGAAGACGGGAGCTCGCAATGGGTCTACGAGGCACCTGGGAAACCCCTCCCCCCGCCCATCAAGCCTCCCCCTCCTCAGAGCCCCGCCCCTTTCCCAGGCTGCGATTGCTCATTAGCTGACGAAACCCTGGATTTTTCCGTCTGAAAATGTCAGCGTGAGCTTCTGAGGCCTGCGCGGTAAATGCCAGCAGCACAGAGACTCCATGTCGGATTTGCATTATGATACACAGAAACACTTTGCTAATAGTCAGCGGGATCCCAGGGACACCAGCTGGGGATATTACGGGAGATATTGAGCAAAATCTCGAATGCACGCCAAAGATTGCGAATTACCATATCTGCAGCCGGTGACCTCTTTAGCAGGTACTGCTACTTGATAATGCGAACAGCTAAATGCGTGGCTGCGCATACAGTGCAGAGACTTCATTTACTGCTGCCTAAGCAAGCTGATGCCTAAGAATTACAGGGGAGGGAAGGGTTACAATTTGCTGCCACCACCTCGTTGCACAATGGTCGCCTTTTCTGATTTCGTGCATGGTGCGATAGTCAGTGCCAGATATGCGGGTCGCAGCCACCTTCCTCGAGAGTTTACCGGGAGCGGCTCGATAAACGAAAAATATCCAGTGGGGCGAGGTTCCGTGGCGAAAGCACCTAGTTAATCAGGGAGGTCAAAGGAGAGCGGACAGACCCGTTCAAGGTACCAGAAAGGCCAGCAGTGTGAAAATAGCAGGTGCAGTGCAGAGGAGCTACTCTGAACACAACACGTCTGAAGGAGAAAGCCGATCCTTCTCGTACTAGCTAGGTGCACCTAATAAAGTGATATATTTGTGAATTCATCTCCATATTAATGCATTATATGTAGCATAAATTGGAGAATATTTTGCTAAATTATGGCCTCTGGGTAATGTAATCTGCATGATTTTTTCCAGAAGGATACAAACATTTCACCCATCCGTAACGGCTTGGTGAGCCGCGCTAGCATAGGACACACGCTGATACACACGGGCAATTCAGAGTCCTCAGCTCACCCGCCCGTCCGCCCGGGTATTTCTGAAGTGCGGTAGGAAATCCACCGTATCACTGCGAGAGGCCCCTAGACTCAGGGCCAGGAATCAAACCCCTAACCCTGCAGGCGTGCAAATACAGCACTAACCACTGTACTGTGCAACAATGCATAGGGATATTGACGGGAAATGCAGATAGTTTTGGCAGTCTACCAAACCTGTGATACACTCTTGCTCAATATTCAGCACACGGCTCCGTGGCACCAGAGTTGGGAAGGAAGTCATCCGAGAAGAATGAGAAAGGGCAGTTTCTGAAGGCAACTGAACGTTTCCTAACAAACCTCGCCCAAAACCAAGGCTTCATATTATACACAGTATAAATATATTGTGGCATGCTGAAGAAATAGGTTTATAACATGTCCCACCCCCCCAAAAAAAAATCTATATCCTTAATGCTAGCATTGAATGCATTTCTTAAAATTCAGGTACCAGAAGTCAATGGATGGGGGCCAGGGGGGTAAAGTCCTATGTATCAATCAGTAGTGCTGACAGTAGGGGCGCTGGGGGTGCTTCAGCACCTCCTCTGGTTGTTGGTGGTAATGCAGTGTCAGAGTATAGTATGACAGCGTGCCCAGGTCTGTGGTTTTCGTCAAAGTAAAATGTACTATTATATAAATTATCTTGCAAGGTAGCTGAAGGTCTGGGCTTTGTAGCTGAAGTAGCCTTTCACTCAGATTTGCCATTCTGGAACCGGAACCAGCCGGTATCTATCAAAGAGACCCCTATCACGGACGACTGCCAACGACCAGAACAAGAAAACAACACCCCCCTCTGGACCAGGTGTAAGACGCTCGTTACAGCGATTTGCCGAAATTAGAATTCCAGACATCACATTTAATGTTATGCAAATGAGTCACCGAAAGGGGGCATATCTATAATAATTTTTAAAAAGAAAAAAAGATGCCGAATTGGGGATACAATTCTAATATTATGACGGGAATATTATTCAGAGGACAGGGACTGAAACAATGGCATCAAAGGCTATTCGCTGATTGAATTCAAGTAACTAAAAAACCTCATCAGCAGGAAGTTGGGAGACATAAATATTAAAAAGAAAAATATGCTTAGAGGTTTTGGGGCTAAATTATAGATGTTCATGTGATGCAATACTACAGTCGGCATATGTGTGGCACCCGCGGCTAAGCAGAATGTGACCAGCATGCTAGCCTTCTGAGAGCCTTTCACACCTTGCTGGACGAAGGCTCCGTAGACGACCCAGATGGCGCTGTGCAGGGAGCTGGAGACGGAGGCCAGCGGCGCCTGGTGGGGTCCGGGCGGGTTCTGGGAGCGGCCGGACTGCATGCGGTTCAGCAGGAAGATGAGGACGCCGACCAGGGGGATGGCCGCCGCGATGCATGCCCACACCGCCAAGTCGAAGGGGGCGAACAGGGAGAAGATGTTGATCTTCTCCTCGGGCTTCCGCAGCAGGATACCCACGGAGTAGTCCAGGTAGCGCTTGCTGAAGTCCACCACGTTCTCCCTCTCAGGTGTGATGGTGATGGCCGACACTGCCAGGTCCGCCCTCTAGGGGCAGTAAAAGCATGCGGTCCTTGTTAGTGTTTGCCGAAAACAATGAAGAGCCAACAGGGGGCAGCCTAACTGAAGTTATATCAAACTCAGTGGTGTAACTCAAGGTTAAATACCTTCTTGAGGTTACTTCGGTGAGGCTCCTCCAGCAAACGTAGGTCAGTGTTTCTCAACCCAGTCCACAGGGACCCCCAGACGGTTCACGTTTTCACTCCCTCCCAGCTCCCAGCATGCCTGTACCAGGTATTTGATATTCTCGATTGTTTGGTTCAGGTGTGCTGAGAGCTGGGAGGAAGCGAAAATGGACTGGGGGTCTTTGAGGATGGGGTTGAGAAAAACTACTGTAGATTATGAGCCGTAACTAGCACCCAACCTGGTGCAATCGAAATGTTCACTCAGCCCCCCTCAATATGGGTCGTCGTAATTAAAATCATAATGGCAACGACACTTGTCGTTGGTATTAGCAGGAGCAACGTTAGCGTGCTAATAGATTTCGTTGATATCGATATTTGTTTTTAGCGCTATGGGGATAGCCCTGTGACGGCCTTGCCTTGTTGATGAGCTCCCCGATCATCCCGTTCCATGACCCGTTGGGCAGCTGTGTCCCGTACTTGCCGTCCGGCACCTGGTAGATCTCGTACTTGAAGCCCAAGATCTTTGCCAGAGCGTCCAGCACGTCGACGGAGAAGCCTTTGTACCTCTTCGGCTGCCCGAGAATATTTTCTGCTACCATGACAAAGGGATCCTCCTATCGAACCAAAAAAATTATTTTTTTTCTGTCTTAAACTGAGGCAATCGTGTAAATATATTATGAAATGGCATTCAGTATGCTTTTAGTCACCCCCAACATATTGCTCTGTGCTTAAAATGACATAGAATTTCTCTAATAAGCATGGTGTCACAGTGGAAATACAGAAGGACCCTGTTTTAGGATTAGCATAATTATGCTAACAAGCACAAACCATTCAAAAGGGGGAACTGAGTTTAGCTGCAGAATGAATCAAGATGGCCGTGGGGTTCGTTGCTGTTATAATTGAAGCAAATGCTGAACAGGAACATGGTCAGCTGCTTTGGAGGGTCCCAGAAGCAGTGGGCCTATCAAGCGCTGTGCTCCAGCATCCTGTGGGAAGTAGTTAGCATAGCATACCAGCAGTGTTACCACTCTGACAGTCACTCCTTGCATCCCGTTCTCAATCCGGCTCTCTTTAAGGCTTCCGTTCAGCCCTAGAGCAGAGTCCCATGTTGCTAACTGTGTA